GCAACATCGACAACATCAACACTTGAATAGCCAATTCGGAAGCCAAAGTTACCAGTTAATTAGGTTGAGATTCAAATGATTAATAATAATGATCTTTATACTCATCTGAATAGAATGGTAAAATTACATTAAGAGAGCTATTTGAGGTTTTACCAAATAGCTAATTATGAAAAAACCAGACAATTCTTGCAGTTTATATAAATTTGTAAATCTATAAATCAAAAAAAAACCTAATTATTAGGGATTTTTTGATTTCAAATTTATACAAATCGCAATAATTGCAATGAATAGATCATGATGTGAATAAAGTGGTTTGTACTTACATAATAGTAAATAGAAATTTGTATTCTTGATTTGTGTATTTGTTTTGCTGTTTTCAATTTATATAATTAATATCAATTAATTTTTATATTCATCTAAATAAAATGATTAGTGTCATGCCTTATTTTGAACTACTGTGTACTTCTTGGTCTTCACTATCGGTCTTTACTTGCTTGGCTAACTTATCCATATAACCGTGTATCATACAGGTCCTTTCACCAATTATGTATATACACAGTTGATAGTTTATTCACTAAGATTGTTTTTCACTAAGGTAATTTAATTCTCAAAGCTTACAAAGTTCAAATCTTACAAGCTAGGTACTTTCTCTTTCAGGATCGATATCTTATATTAATTACTAATGCATATTTTGTATCACTGATTATTACATACTTTCTCATTGCTCATATAACTGCTATTATTACTAATTACTAATTATTACTACATTGTTTATACAATCACTAATTTAACTTTTAATTAATTTTGTTAACCCCAAATCATGCCATTCATGCAAATCCCAATCATAGCCGATCATGATCTCTGACCCTTGTGCTACGAATACCTGGAGCATCAAAGTCGATTAGTGCAAATAAAATTGTTTTAATTATTGCAGGTTGTATAAGTTTGTGAAAGTTGTTAATCACTAAAAAAAACAAAAAAAAAACACTTAATCAATTGTTAAGTGATTTTTTCTTTTTTTTGCAAATTTTATAAATTTGTACAAACCACAATAAGCAATGTCTATTTAGATTATGTTGGAGTGAAAATATTTGTATATATGTATAGTATTTATATTTATAATTTGTGAACTTTTTAATTCAAATAAATAAAAATAATTGTTATACTTATCTGAATGAAATAATTAATACAAAGTGTTATAAAGAAACTGCTTGTAAACAAGGTTGGGCAACTGGACAATTGAACAATCAGAAATTTGTCCGGTGTCTAGCATCTGAACTGTCCAGTAAAAAGCAAAATAGATACTTTAATTTTTAGCCAATAGTATTCTTTTGTTAAAGTGACTGCCCAACATTAATTTAGTCAAATTTTACTGAAAATTCAATATAAATTAAACAAATTCACCTGTTTTTAAATTAAAAATATATAGCTGCAACTTAAGTAAAAAAGAATTTATTTATATTTAATATCTAAAATAAAATTTTCGATTAAAGTTTGAGCTGTGTTTAAGCTATAGTTCAAACTATAGTTTAACCTATTAGTTTAACTAGCTTAAGCTATGACTTAAACCATAGTTTAAGCCATGGTTTAACTGGCTTAAGCCATGGCTCAAGCTATAGCCAATTGATAAACCTAAGCTATATTAATAGCCATGGTTTAACTGGCTTTCAAGCTATAGCCAATTGATAAACCTAAGCTATATTAATAGCCATGGTTTAAATTATAGCTGCTAAAATAATAGCTTAGGCTTGGCCATAGCTTTATAAGCCAAGCCAAGCTAATCAAGCCAATTACATCCCTAATGATTATCCATTTGTTTATATCATGTGCTGCAATATGGTTTCTGATTGGTCGATTGTCGCATGAAGAACCCCGTGCCTTTCCGAAAATGAGAAAGCCCTCCATGCTTTGGGCGTTACTTTTGGTGGCTACTGTACGTTACATTTTAATCAGTGTAAAATTTAAACTCACGTATATCAATTACTTATTGACAGAAAATTGAAAGTGATATCTAATATATTAACCGTACGTACGATTAAATTTAGTATAATTTCGTACGTACGTACGTACGTACGTCCGTCTGAATCTATACTGCATGCCGTGATAAAAGATGATTCTGCAAAAATTCTGCGATTGGCCAGAGTTACGTAAGTCGGCCAGCATTGTAATCCGCAAATTCTGGCCAAATTAATGCCAGACAGCATTAAGATGACTTTAGATCCTAAATCCAGGCCAAGATTTAAAAATGATCTGAACCGTCAGTTTTCTGCAAAAAATCATCGTACTGATATCGGCAATTATATATTTTAAAGCGAGAAAAGTAGTAACACAAGTATTTTCACTTTTATTAAAATCTACAAGTCTATAGTATTAGTATTTAATACTCTTAAGATATTTTACGTCTCAAAACTCTTCAAAGCTCTTAAATCTGACTCTTTAACATTTTATATACAAAATTTATGAAATTTAAAAAACCTAAAAACCTAATAGTTGCAAAAACGAAGTTTGATTTTGGATATGAAAAGTTTTTACAATTATCTTTCACTTGTGTACATGTTCAATATAACTATTACATCGCTTTTATTCAATATATCCTGCCTAATCGCTAGGTTCGTAATTTCTTAATCTGAAATGAAAATAACGAGTTTTAATTATTTATAGAATTGATTTAACAATCCGATTAGTTTTTGAGTTTGAAACTAATGATCAAAAATGAGATATTAATTGGGGTTTGGTTATTATCCAAAATGAAGTAAAAATCCTGATTCCCAAGCAGTAATGTCGTGAGTAAAAAATAAAAAAAAAAGATTTGAATCTCAACCTAATTAACTGGTAACTTTGGCTTCCGAATTGGCTATTCAAGTGTTGATGTTGTCGATGTTGCTGAGGTAGCTAATGAGTGTATGTTTGTTTTTCCGTGGTTGGCAAAGGCTTGAGATAGTAGCACTAGTGGACTGTTGTTCGTAAACAATACATGTTTAATATTTAATATCGTACTTTTGATAAAAATAATCACTCACATTGCGGAATCAGCCTTTTTCTTAATTATAACGCTTCTAAAGGGTTCAACATCAACGCTTTCTGACTTTAGTGAATAGTGTGCACAGAGTCCATGAATAAATCCACGATGTGGTGCTTTCATAGGTGTCAGATTCAGTGTGGGTTTACTGCATAACATAAACAAATAAAGTAGTTTTAGCATTTACTAGTGTGAAAAGTGTGAAAAGGCATTCATTAGCATTGGTCACTTACTCTGACTTCAAAATGAAGTCTCCCAGTGTGGATTCAATATTTTTTGCCCATTCTTTATTAGCGCCAAAGTACTTAAGTAACTCTTCGTCGTACTTAGGGGCAAATGGCCTAAAGATAATATTAAATATTACATTAAATATTATAATCTACAGTTAATTGGGGGTAGCTGCGCGACGTAGTCGCGCTTAAACCAGGAACGTAGCATATAAGTTTTCTAGTAGTTTTATTCTTTTTTTTTTAAAAAAAAAAAATTTATATACAACAAAAGTTTCTATTTTTTTTTTTTTTGTTATTTCACCCGAAGAGTTGCCAAATAGTTGATCAGTATATTATACAATATTAAAACAAAATTAAATTGCTTATGCTTTATCGGAAAAATTAATTTACGTACATGATTGCAGATCATTTTCATTATTAAAATTTCCTTTTTTGAATTCTACCCCGCGGGTGACCCGGGTGACATCTACCCGGGTCCAATCACTAGTTATATCTTTGGTTTCATGGTTATTATTGAAGAAAAAAGGTGTTTATTTATATAACAGTATAAGATGGAATTTTTCAATCGGCAGAGATTGAAAAATAACACGTGTCAATTGAAAATTGAAGAATTTTATGAATGACGCAGAACATTAATATATTGCATACAGGATCACAAACACATTGTCCTTTGCACAATTTACACACCTATACATGCACATTTAATATATGCCCAACCATCAGCCAGTCATAATACAGATTTTGTACACTTGCCACTCTAGTTGTCTGTAAACCATACACTTCGTAATTTGCATTACTACGTTCCTGGTATACAAATAAAATGTTAAAATTGAAGTTTACCCTTCAACAATTCTATCAGACAGCCCCAACGCGTTAGCCAACTTTCGATTTCTCTCGGCCATGGCACAAGCATTATCACATTCTAATTGACTACGTTTAATTTCTTCTGCTGTTTCCTTGGTTGCATTACAGATGACCTCTTTGGAGGAATGTCCACATTTACAACTAATCATCATTTTAGACTGACATGCAGTATCAGGACATGATGTTGGCGCGTGGCATGTCGAAGAACAAGGGTGACCTGACATAGATATATGTTGTGTTGACATTATATATAGATATATAATATTAATAACATCGTAACGATGCTGAATTCTTACCACAGGCTTTGGGCTTTCCGCACGTCTGAGTACATCGCTGTTCTATGAGACAATCTCCAGAATGGCATACACGTTTACAGTGATGTCCGCCACAAGGCAATAGCACACCGCAAACTTGTCCACAACTGACATTAGACTTGTGACAAGAAATATTTTTTACCACAGATTTACCGCATGTGCATTTTTTGCTAACCAAAAATGCACATGGAGGACATGATTCTTCATCCCCATGACATCCATGTGGGACATTTGGATGACCACAAGATGGTACCTTTTACCAAATTAAATTTAATTACTTAAAAATATTGAAAATTGATAAGGAATATAGGGTACTCACCCTTACGCATGAATAAGGGCATTGGATTTTAGTTCCACATCGGATCGGAGGATCACTATAATAAAAATAGATTGTTAACTACATTCAACAATATAGGGTAATTTTCCTAACAACAACCCTATATAGGTAATATATGATATATGTGATAATCAAATACGCAATAACATACCGAGTTGTACGTCCGCAATGACATGTCAGTTCTTCAAATGAGGCCTCTGTTAAACAAGGTCAAATGTCAATATCATATGTAAAAAAAAAAAAAACCCTCGAAAAAAAAGGCAATTATCTATGAAAATTAAGAAAATACTAACCATAACAAGGTTTACAATGTCCCTTATGGCATAATAGTTGGCATGTGTGCTATTTATTGTTATTTGAAAGTTAATTAACATATTTGTAAAATTAATAAGCTATATATATATATATAATTACCTTCCCGCATTGTAAGCTCTTACCGCACACTAAAACACACTGATGATTAACATCATACTCCTCATGTGGAGCGCTACCTCTACTTTTCGAAGATTTCTTATTAGCTGATGGACAACAACGCACACTGCATTGATGTTTACCGCAGGTTCTAAGACCTCTGCATATCCTATCACATATTAATTCCTCGTCTCCTGCTTTACTAGAAACTTCGGAACAGACACGTTCAAACGTTTTACTACCACATCGACATTTGACATGTACAGTAGTTGTACAAGGTTTACAATTCCCATGATGGCATGTATCTTGGCATTTATGTCCACATGGAAATGTTTTCGAACAAATGTTATTACAGAGTGGAATTTCTTCAGTGCAAGAAGTTCGCTTATGACCAAGAAGCGACTCTATAGTATTCGCACCACAAGGACAATTATGAACACGTGAAGGACTTAATTCGCAAGGCTCAGGTTCTTCCGTTACTGGATGACATGGTTTTGTGCATGAATGATGGCCGCATTCTAGCAAGCGATTGCACTTTTCTTTACATGAGAAGAACCCAGTCCAATCCTGCAATGATTCGATGGTTTTCTCTCCGTAACAATGAAATGCCACCCCGTCACCGCACGTTGCATCTCGTTCTGTCTGTCCACAATAACATTTTTGTAATTCAACTACTTCGCATCGCGCACAATCTCCTGGATGGCATTTCTTTTTGCAATAATGTTTACCACAATCCAATAACTTCCCACAAACCTCCTCACACGATTTACCAGCAGTATGATCGATTTCGATACAACGAAGTTGATATGTCTTACGACCACAAAAACAGTATTGAATAGGACCCATGGCCGAACAAGGTGGGCATGGCCCTGGATGGCATGGCCTATTCGAATTTTAATTGTTAGTCAATATTCAGTAATTAAGTTGATTGTTTATAAGCCCAAGTGCAAGTACTTACTGAATACAATCATGTGTGCAATCTCTATTTTTTTTACAGGCATTACCACAACTATGAGGGGTTAAAAATCGCGTAAATTTTGGATTTTCTACTTTGCCTATATAAAATTATTATTTAAATTTATATCAGAATAATACAGCAAAAATATTAATTGATACTAAATTTAGCATTCAATATATTATTAACTGTTGCATACCACAAAAGCACTTGTAAACCTCAGGAATACTCTCAGATTTGTTTTGACATCCAGGACAACGCCATGAACCAGCATCATTAAATGACTTTTGAGCCCACTTTTGCGTACATTGCAAATGAAATACCGCCCAACAAACTCCACAAGACCATGTCTTATTACTAGGCCGTATAACGTCGCAACAAATCATACATTCATAAGTAGATGTAGTTAAACCGTAAGTTATCGAGGTAGACAAATCTTTAATTTCATCGAGAGAAAATTTAGAAACGGAGGATTTCTTTGAACGTATAGAAGTTCGAGAAGTTTTTGAATCATTATTTGATGTAATTGAAGATTCTGTGATAATTGCTAATCCCTTGCCCTTGGGATCAGAGACAACCTTCGATTCATTGTTCGTATCTTTGTGTCGTGAGTTATGCTGTTGTAACTCATTGCTATCACTAACATTTTTATTATGACCCACAATATCTCCTTGATTGTAGCTTGATATTGGCTGATGACCACTTCTGTTAGAGCGTTGCTTGTGCTGAGGATTACTTCGAAAAGAGCCTCTACCGCCCCGTGAGTTGCCTCGCCCACGATAACGACTTCTACCTCCATTGTATCTTGAAGCTGAGCTACTTGAGCCATGATTTGTGTTGTTATTGTATCTTGAAGCTGAGCTACTTGAGCCATGATTTGTGTTGTTATTATTATCAATTGATTCTACGGTAGTAGTGGCCATAGTGATAGTTGAGTTATAATCAAAGCCGATTTTAGATTAAAAAAAAAAAAAAAAACCTGTTAAAGTACTTATGACGATGCACACAATAATTTATATAATTATTATATATATACACAATATATTGCTGCGGAACATTATAAGCTTTTGACATACGTACAAATGACGGATTAATTGCTGCGTCACTAAAATTACCAAATTGGGTAAATGAGTAAATTAGTCACCAATCAATCAAAATGCTCCAACTTCCAATCAATTTAATAAATTGCCTATGTCTCTTACGTTTATATAGAAAAAAAACCTTTAGATAAAGTTCGAGGCACAGTAGTATTACAAGCTGGCGAAGGCTGCCGCAGCTAGGCCGGCTATACTATGTGACAATTCTTAATTCTATGAACTATTATAGGTTCGAAGCAAATTATTTTTAGATTAATATCGATATGCATATCTATAACCTCTGATTATACTTATATATATATTAACCAACCCAGGCTCACTTAGCTTGCCTATTGGCTGTCCAAGTCACCGAGAATATTTGACTTCTTTAAGAAAAAACTGCTTGCTATTAGTTAAAAACTCTTCTAAAGATATATATTATTGTTATATTTTTTAACTATATACTAATTTGTAAATTTAATAGTTAGAAGTACACCTTTCGTACTACCAGTAGTACAGTTTTAAAAACTTATAAAAAATCTAAAAAATTATAAATTAAATAAGAATATTTATTCGACATTTTAGTTTAGTTTTATTAAAATTAATTTATTTAAAAAAAAAAATTTTAAATCTACTTTTTAAAATTTTAATATAATATCTGTAGTCTACCTGTAGTATACTTTTAAATCTTATATATTATAAAATAGAAATTTTTAACTTGTACAAGATTAAGAATAACTAGTATGCTATATTTCGAAAATATACTTATATCCAATATATATAATGTTATATTAATGGATTAAATTTACCCTTTTGTACTAAATCTAGTACAGTTAAAAAATAGATTAAAATTTTTAAAAAATATATACCCAAAAAATTTTTATATACAAAAATCTAATAAGTATTCAAGATTTGTTTAATTGATGATCTAGATAACAGTCAGAGGACATGTCCATATATAAGAGCTTGCATTGCTGTTACTTATAAATCAAATGAGTTGACTCACCTCAATTTTATATGTAA